GTAAAAGCAGAATTAGCTCATCCAACAGTCTGACAGAGAGAGAGAGAGAGAGAAAGATAGAGAGGAGACAACACAGTAAAAGTGCATGGGCACAGTGGGGCCTGTTAGCTTTTTGTTGCTTGTCGATACAAGGAAATAGTAACTTTCCGAGTGGAATTATTATAGCGGCTCTTACATGACAATCTCTACATTATACACTAACGATTTTTGATAAAAAAAAAAAAACCACAGATATGAACATCTTGACCAAATGAAGCCACCTTCCTAATTGTGACTATGCTCCATGATAAAAACTAGAAGACATACCATTGCCCGTGTCTAACAATAGAATTTAGCCTTGAGTGTCGACTGGGTCCAGCTGAACAGCTGCCAAACTGAACCGAGCCCACTGTACATTGTTGATTTCAAGATGATTTTTGGGGTTGGCTCAAGCTGGTTTTCTCTGCCCAGCTCTCTCGCTCTCTCCATCTCTCTCGCTTTTCTCTTTCAAGCAACAACATTAAACAGCTGAGCTTGTTTGAAAACAACAGTCAACCATCCCCTTCCGTCCGACCCTCTCGGTATGGGTGCGCCCTGAAAATGGGGCCAGAGGCAGATGACGACTATATGACGGCACCAGAAGTTCTCGCGAAAGGACAGCAGTCATAGGCCATAAAGAAATGCATGCTGAGAGCTTGCCCAAAATTAACAGCAACGTAACTGTGGGGGCACACTGAGCGCTGCGGCATCCCTGAAGTATGCAACACGGGGATATTTGTGGAAAATAAACGAAATTAGGGAGACCTTCCATTGAAGGACAACCAATTGCCAAATGGCAACGACGTAGTAGGACCTCGCGGGAAAGAGAGGGATGCTGCTAGGCTGTTATGAGAGGCTGTTGGAAGGGTGTCTGTGGAAATGGAAATGGAAAGGAGAGCGACGTCACAGATGCCTGACATAGTTTCCTCAGTTAGGCCACGTGCATTCCTATGGGTGGATGGATACGTGTGGGTGTGGGTGTGTGTGAGCAAAAGAGAATCAAAGGAAAAGTTGGGCCTTGAATGACCTAGATAATAGAATGGAATGAATACATATTAATAAATACATATGATAGTCAATAGCTGCTTGTACTGCAAAACAACTAAAATTTTAATGAATCCCTTTATACCCCCAAAAGGAAAGATGTTCACATACTAAAATGGTTCTCTCTCGCTCTTTTAGGCAGCAGCCCCTTTGCGACGTTTCTGATTGCGCTGGATTGTGTGTGTGAGAGTTGACGAATGCGGAAGAAGGAGCCGTGCAACAGGAAACGGAAAGAAGGAGAATAGCACCACAAACAGGAACCGGAACAGCAATAAAAACATTTACAATATACAACAAATACAAAGATAGAACGAAACAAAGAAACAAATAAACAAACACCGCCTTAGCCTTAGTAAAATACAACGACAAGAAGAGGACAAGAGAGACCGAGATCGAGATCGAGACCGACCTCAGCAAAAGCACTATCCTAACCTTATCAAATCCAAAACCCAAAAGTCAATCAAAAGCTAAAGCTACAAATATGTCGTCACCCAGTGCTGGAAAGCGTCGCATGGACAATGACGTGATCAAACTAATTGAATCAAAACACGAGGTCACCATTCTCGGGGGCCTCAACGAGTTCCATGTGAAATTCTTTGGCCCGTCGGAAACACCCTACGAGGGCGGTGTGTGGAAGGTTCGCGTCTATCTGCCGGATAACTATCCCTTCAAGTCGCCGAGCATTGGATTCGTGAACAAGATCTACCATCCGAACATTGACGAATCGTCTGGCACGGTCTGTCTAGATGTGATCAATCAGGCCTGGACGGCCCTGTACGACCTATCGAACATATTCGAGTCGTTTTTGCCGCAGCTGCTCACATATCCGAATCCGGTGGATCCGCTCAATCGGGATGCCGCCGCCCTGTACCTGCACGAGCCGGAAGAGTACCATCGCAAGGTGGCCGACTATGTGCAACGCTATGCCACCGAGGATGCGCTGCGGGCGGCGCAACAGGAGCGAGAGAGCAGCGATAGCGAATCGAGCATGTCCGACTATAGTGAGGATGAGGCCCGGGACATGGAGTTATAATATCGGTTTAACTCTAATCAAATACCATTAACATTAACGACAAATGCCTAATACTAATGCTTTAGCGCAGCTCTTCTCTCTCTCTCTCTCTCGCTCTGCATCTCCCCTTTTTGAGTATGACGATGACGATCTTTCAAACCAGCAAATCAACAGCAAACGGCAACAAAATTATACATATATACATATTTATATATATATATATATATAGGAATGATAATTGAATTTTAAGATAGAGAGTGAGGCGACAATGCACATGCATACCATATGTATGTATATATGTATATATATATATATACATATATACAACATATATAAATATATATATATATATATATACATTAACTTATATTTATTGATGTAAGCGCAAACAAAACAAGATTTGAAAACACTTAGTTAAGCCATTTAGTAGCTGATAAAAAACAAAACGATGACAAAGAAACGTCTAAGATCTGACCAGGGAGTAAAGGATCTCGTATCGAAACAGAAACGGAAAGGATCAGTTACGAAAAGAACATAACGGAGCGGAGCATCAATATTAAATGGAATGAAATGGTTCTAATAAGTAAAGTATACAACACGCAATACAATGTCGGGGAGTAAGGCCGAGTCGGGGCCAGACAGACACAAAGGCAACAACAACAAAAAACAAAATAGTGGATCAAAATAAAATAACTGAAATCGGAACAAATCGGATAATGATGAAACAAAAATTGCTTTTGGCCTTGGTCTGGCACTAAACAGACGATGACGATAACCATAACCATAAACGATAAACGATAAAGGAGAACGGATAACGGATAACGAGGATGAGGCCCGATCTTTCAAAATATAGCAATTAAGCAGTGCAAGAAATGCAAACGTATCGAGATGAAATACAATTACCACCATCCACAGCAAGTTCTGTATCATTATCCCACATCGCGTCCCCCAAAGGCCCCACAATCCCAGATAGTATATTTTAACGTAACCCCCGTAAAAGGATTGCTTCTGAGTACGAGTAGATCAACGAAGTGTGCGAGTATTCTAAAATGTATGTTAATTTGTTTGTGTTTTGGTTTGCCTTATTGGCGCCATCTTTTATAGGACTTTCCAATACAACACAGTTCGCAATATAGATATACAAAATGTATTCACGTACTCGTATTTAGAAAGCAAACGAAACTTTAATGTTGAAAATTGAAAATTGAGAGCCCAAAACGCAGAATCCAATCTGACTTAGCAGCCTTGGCCCTGCCCGAAACGTAAATGATCGTAAACGTACATAGAACTAGTAGACAACCAAGACAAATCCTAAAAGAATTGAAGCATTATGAGATACAAATAAACGTTGCAGTTCTTTTCTTGTTAATTAATATTATCATACGGTTATTATGTAATGTTTTAAAATAGGATTCTAATTGAGCGTGTAATTAAATGCAATAACTTTTATGCCTAACTTATGCCACCTGTGTTTAAGCCAAAACAAAATCGGTTTTTTATTGCGTATTGAGTATTTATTGTTTTTTGTTTCCGGCTGTTCCTTGAGTTGGGGTCCAAAACGAACATGCAGGAGATTTCCCTCTCTCTCTATCAATCTATCCCTCTATCCCTCTCATTGTTTGAATCGTGTGCAGTGCTGTGCTGTGCCCTTTGTGCTCGATACGGGCTTGATCAGCACAGCACACAATGGATTCAATGGAGAATGCAGTGCAGTGCAGTGCAGTACAGGGGCTTTAAATCAAATCAAAGTGCATCGCGAGTCAGAGATGATGAGCTGAGCGACATATACATACAATAGCTACGTATATAGGCATTACCGATCGATCTACTGTACCATTTAGGTAATAGTATTACTAACTAGCACTACGAACCGTATGTATAACCATATTTTACGCCTAAGTTTACACTAAAAGCTGAACAATTAATGAGTGCACATGTAATCTGGTGATTGTATACACAATATACCTACAAAATATATGATATCTATCAGAAAATACAATAATTGAAATGTAATTGAAAGCAATCGAGACCGAAATCAGTGGGTAGGTTAAAGGCAGTCAGTGTCAGTCGGCGGGAGGGATCAATAACGCATATATATCTTTAAAAGCAAAAAAAAAAAAAGAAAAAAAAAAATCAAAAAAGCAAATGTTGTTACAGAGAAATATAAATCTAACAAATAATAGAGAGGAAATTGAAATAAATGCAAATAAAATCTTCGTAACGATTTTGGCGATGGTGCGATGGGTGTAGGGGTGTAGGGGTGGATGGGCGGAGAGTGATGAAAGGTTTTTGGTTCTTATCTTGGCCTTGTTTTGTCAATAGTTTGGCCCGCCCCCCCCCCCGGTGTGTGGTTATCCATAGAGTTCCTTGGGGGCCCTCGGCCTGCCCTTACCTATTCCAACTGACAATGCCTGGGGACTGTCAGCACACACTTTGAGACTCTGGCGGCTCTGTGGCCTGTCTTCGCCTTGGAAACTGAAAGAAAGTTGCAGTTTGTTGATTCCTTTTGTTTTGGCCGTTTGCCATTTGTGGATGAGCCCGAGGGCCAAGGGACACGCTTTAACGCTCCTGCGTGGAGTCTATCGGGCAATCAAAATAACAACCTAGACATGGGTATCTACTTTAAAGATCTATAAACTCTACAACTCTTTCTGTGCATCGCTTGCCCTCATCCCCTCTCTCTATCACTCCCTCTCTCTGTCACTCTCTGTGTGTGTGTGTGTGTCTGTGTGGTGGGTGTATCTTAAACCAGTTTAGACTTTAATTACGGCCAACATGAGGACAATTTCCATAGCATACATTGCAGCGCACGCTGAAACGGAGCTGGGATCTGCCGACGATCTGACGAGTCGTCATAAAGGAAAAAAGAAGAGCCTCCTCAGCTTTTTCCGTGTCCTCCACCTGTGGGAGATACATATCTGAAAGAATGGTGAAAGTGTTCCACTTTGAAGTCTGCTACTGCCGTGACGTGACAGAGGTGTCTGCCTGCTGGAACTCTACAAAAATACATATATTGTACATATCCCGATGACGTCAGAAATGAGCATTAAGAAGTGCCGCTATCGCTACCTGGAACAATGAAACGATCAGTGGAGAGAAAGAGCCTGGGACTTGCCTGAAGAGGGGCTTCTTTTTTGGCAGCTGCATTCCAAAGTATCTATCCACTGTACGAGTATCTAACAGATATCCCAGATATCATTGTTCCGAGCTCAAGGGCGATTCAACTGCTTGGATGGAGAGGTCTTGGCCAACTATCGGTTGCATTACCAATTGCCAATTGGTCCAAGTACATGTGCATCCTCGTGCTCCTGTGTGTGTGCGTGTGTGTGTGTTGTGTGGAGATGGAGAAGGAGTAGCAGCTGCTGTTGATGGACTGCCAAGTCCAAACATGTTTGATTTGCTCCCTTCAGGGCTGTCAGTGGACTTGCAACCTGACAAAGAGTTCGAGCAAAAAGCCCCCAATCCATGATTTGTTTGGGTGGCAACCGGGCAACGGATCGGAGCAAATGGTTAAAAATCAACAAATTACAACCGTTACATATGTACGTACATGCATACATACATATGTACATGTGTATATACAAGACCCAGAGACCGTTGTATACCAAAGTATTGGTTCGTCCCCGACACTGGCACGCATCGAAGCCAGTGGAAACGCTAATAAAATTATAGTGCCAAGGGCGGAGCCGACCATAAATACATATATGTACATATGTATGTGGAAACGATATAGCAATAGCTATAGCTACCGCCAGACAGACAGACAGACAGACAGGCAGGCAGAAGGTGGGTCTGGTCTGTATGTCGGGGCTACTCCCTCTTCTTGGGTAATCACAAGATAATAACATTTTGCGCAACGGAATTGCACACAAGAGCGAGAGTAAGGAACAAATGAAATATCGCCAGGTCTGGCACGATACAACAATACAATGCCCCCCCCCCAACCACCCCTCATTGTGTGGGGCAGAGACTGAGAGAGAGCGAGAGATAGAGAGTTGAAGTAAAGTTAAAATGAGTAAAAGAGTAAATGAGTGCACTGGCAGAAATTCAACAGCTCTCTCTCTCTCTCATTCATACCTAGATGGACTCTGTTGTGGTCCCTTTCTCACTCTATGCTCTGGCATGTGTTCTCTCTTTTTGTTCGATATCTTTAGATCGATTTCGGTTTACATAAGATCTATTTTCGTTGCTTCAAAATTATTTAATTATGGAAAATCTTGCCCTCGGACACATTCACATTCATATACAGCTTTATACTCCATTTTCACTATCTTAAGACCCATCTTAAGTAGGATATCCATATCCATATCTACATACATATATCTTATCAAATATCATCTTATTATACTATTTCATATCTTGTACACGATCCGTCCATGGTTATCCACTTGCACTACTTTAGGACCCATATACACTCCATTGGACCGATCCATATTCTCTAAGCATCCATCAAGAACGCCATGCACAATTTTAGAACCCATTTACACTGCTTTAGGACCCATCTTCATTCTTAAGTATTTATTAGGATCCAATTACACTACTTTAGGACTCATCTACACTCCTTTGGACCGGTCCATATTCTCTGAGCATCTCTTGTGAACGAAAAACACAATTTAGGAACCCATAAACACTGGGACACACTTACACTGCCTTGAGACCCATCTAAATTCTTAAGGTATCATTAGAATCCACTTACCCTACTTTAGCATCTACTTACACTACTTTAGGATCCACTACACTACTTTAAGACCCATCCACACTCCATTGGACCGATCCATATTCTCTGAGCATCCATTGTAAAGGACGTACACAATCTTAGAACCCATATACTGTGTTTGGGCCTATTAACACTGCCTTAGGACCCATCTTCATTCTTAAGTATTAATTGGGATCCACTTACACTACTTTACGATCCAATTCCACTACTTTAGGATCCACTTACCCTACTTTAGGATCCATCTACACTGCTTGGACCCACTAGTTACGATCCATTCTAGTGTCCTTGGATTAATCTACAGTGCTTCACTAGGACATGGCCAAAGCCAACGATAGTTGGTCACCGATTAACAAGACCTTTTCTCTCTCCCTCTCTCCACGTATATCTCGCCGTTAATTAGATTTACTGGATCTGCTCTTTCCTTGCAGTATTCTCTCAGTGTACTCTCACTACAGTCGGCGCTGGCTGAAACAATTTATGGCAAAATGTGAATGTGAACGCTGCCATTAGCCATTACCCATTCGGATGTAATGCGATGTGAAGGGCATTTGCATTTTGGGCCTCCTGGGCCTCCTGGGCCTTTTGCCTTTTGTTTGCTCATATCTTTTTGTGCCACATATCCACATACCTGGGCGTTGTATGTACATATTGGAAGTGACTGGGGAGTCCAGGTGGGGGAGGGGGATGAGCGTGTTGGCTTTGACACATAAAGAGGAACAGGGAACCCATCCATCTACACACACACACACACACGCACGGCCATGTATTGGAAATTTGTTTTGTTGCAGGCAAAGCAGGCGCCACCAAGGGTCGTTCGCCAACTCCGACACCCAATCGTGATAATGGTGGGGGCGGAACTGGAGGTGGAGCCGCAGCTGGAGCTGGAGGCGTAGGCGGCGGCGGCGGCGGCAGCGGTGGTGGTGCAACGTCAGGCGGAGCCGGAGCAACAACAGCCGGCAGATCCACACTACATGCGAACAAAACGATACTGAAAACGGTCTCGGTATTCCTCGCCAGCGGCAAACGTAACTCGAGCAACCAACAGTCGAAGGCCGCCGCGGCGGCCCTGCAGAACAAGCGGCAACTGCGCCAAAGGAGGATGGAGGAGCTCAGCGGCAAAATCAATCCCAAGCTGCTGGACAGTCTGCGCAAGAAGACGCGCTTCAGCAAGTGAGTAGGCCCGTTCCGAGACCCCACAACCAATCCAAATCCACCCAATCCCGTTGCAGAGACGAACTGGATTCCCTGTGCCGGATCTATCGGAAGCTCGTGTCGAACTGCCAGTATGCGGCCAAGACGCTGGCATCCAGCTCTTCCAGTGCAGCCATAGCAAAGCCCCATGCGGCCGTGGAGGTGAGTCTTGCCGAGGATGCCCATCCTCAGACTCTGAGAAACGAGTGTACATATTCTGGCCACGCAGGGCATTGACCGCATCGTGTTCCGGGAGCTGTTGCACAGCACTTTCGACATTGTCACCGAGGAGATCCTGATGGAGCGCATCTTCTGCAGCTGGGACAAGGCACACGAGGGCCTGCCCCTGCGGCTCGAGGGCTGGCTCATCGGGCTGTCGACGTTTCTGCGCGGCACGTCCACGGAGCGGGCGGGCTTCTGTTTTAGGGTGTACGATCTGAATCAGGACGGATTCATTACCAAGGATGAGATGTTCACGCTGCTGCGGAACTGCCTTATCAAGCAGCCGCAGGACGAGGATCCCGACGAGGGCGTCAAGGATCTTGTAGAGATCGTCCTCAAGAAGTTCGACCTGGACAAGGATGGCAAGGTAGGAGCAATGCAACCCCTTCTCTCTGCATCCCTTCTATACGCATTTACCCACCTCTCTCAGGTTTCGCTGGAGGATTTCATGAGCACAGTCACGGCGGAACCGCTGCTGATTGAAGCCTTTGGCCAGTGCCTGCCCACGGACAGTGCTGTCGGCTCCTTTTTCTCAACGCTGCAGGTGTAGGTCGAATCGAACCGGAACAGGCCCAATATCATATGTTACGGTACGGTATTTGGTTGGTTTGTTAATCAATAGTTTTTTGTTATTTATTTTGTGAATTAGGGAAATAAAGTACGTTAGATAGAAATCGATGCGAAGTTTTACTGTACTCGAGAGACCCGAAAATATCGGATGATTTATAGAGGCTATATGCTAGGCAACCTTCATCGCCATCCCATCCATAATCCATATACGAAGGAACTTGTTCGCTATCTTTTGGTGGTTTCCTGGGAAACGTCCATTCTGGAGACCATTCTGGAATGAACCCTAATGATACAAAATTCATGAAAATCCGCATTGCGACGGATTGGCCACAATATCTGCGGGAGGAGAACCCAAACTTTGAGCGACCATCGAGCCAATAGAACTAAAATTAATCTCTTATTTTGATGGCCCATTTTTGGTAGCTGGTGACCCCGAAAACAGGTCAATATTGGGCTAGATTGTTGTAGAACGGGACTAATGCTACCGATATCTTTATTATATCTCTTGTGGTGCCATCGTATGTTAGAGATGGCTGACCCCAGACCACTGGGATACCATGGGATGCTATCGTATTTTCTGGACTGCTTTCTTTATTGGTTTATTGCACAAACGCCCCGAGCAGTGTCTGTGGTGTCACCCCATACTCGAAGAGACAATGCGCTTGATTAGAGTGAACAGAAGGTGACCCCGACCAATGCCAGAGATGCAATTCATTTCTGCGAACAGATGTCTGTGCAATTTGCACGTAATGTTGAAGAAATCAACTGAGATGAGGCACTGCTCGACGTTCGTCTGTGCCATCGAGCCGTACATGAAGGTTCGAGTTCCGCCGATTGTCGGTGTCAGGCGGCATGTTGCAAGTTGCAAGTTGAGGACCACATCTAGTCATAGTCATATTTATGCAAGCGTCAAGTGAAACAATAAGCCGAGTCGAGCGGTCCGGTAATGCGAGCTAATTTATTCGATTAGCCAGCCGCATCCACACACACACACTCACACATACAGATACCAAAATCGTCACGAATCTTGTTTATCCATCGAATGCATTCATGCAACGACCAAAGCAAGTTCCACGCTGTTTAGCTTCCCATTCCACTTGGGCCGCTGACGCGGACTGCCACATGGCACATGGCACTTGCCCGTGAACCGTCTCAATACTGAATATGACTGGGAAGGTGGACCGGATTTGGCATAGAACCGGAATGAGTGCAGCAGACAGTGGCATTACATTACATAATATATTCTCGTACACCCACTTTGAGTAGCAGAAGAGGAAGGCCGGGCCGGTCCGGGCCGCGCCGGCTCGGGATAACGATATTTGATCGGATCGAGACCAAGAAGCCACTCTAGAGCCACTGCCCTTGGCAGTCATGTGTGAATCTTGACTGAATCTGGAATCTATAAGGGTGATATAACCATTGTTCTCTTTTTCTACATGAGTGCATATATTAGTGGCACAGATACGAGGTGTGGCTCTTTCACAATTCCATAGAGAACTTATCATACAGACAATCGATTCCGATTGATTTTGGTATGGTTTTAATACCAATTCTGTTGCGCTGAGTCGGTCCCTAGCCTCCAATAACAAAACCACAATATATATTTCGTTACTATGGTAGCTATCTGATAAAGATTAAGCCAGATTTTGAGAATATCTAACATAGAACCATAGAGCCACAAAAACTTGTGGATTCGTAGATGCTTCAATTTTCAATTTCGCTAGATCATTGATCTTGTATATTAGAGATAGATACAGATTAGTTCACCGCTACTTATTTGATTGATTGAAGGGTATACAAATTCGATTAGCGATTGGTTTCATTGGAGCATTGATCTTCTTTTTTGTTAGTTGTACTCTTGAACTCCGACTTTGTTTGCCCTGTCTCTATCGAAGCTATCAGAACCTGATCCCATCTATGTATATGTACATCGCAAGAAACGATGAATCTTCAGGCCTATTTTTTGGTAATCTTGTCTTTCTCCATAGGTGTTGTTACTTCTAATCATTGGGTGTCCAATGCAGTCATGTCTGGGATCTGGTGAAGTTGTTTATTTTTTGTTTGACATATGGATTTCACATTGTAAACATTGCCGCGTCGTTTTCATTGACTTTTCCAGCTTATCGTATATTCAAATCACAATCACCTTCTGGAGGGTTGCGGCTGCTCAGTACCTGGGGGTGTGCACTTAGTACCCTAGTACCGTATTAAAAAAGTGATTCATTACTTAGGACCCTCGCCTACTTTCAGATAGGAAATCTTATCGCTGCTTCCGAAAATTAAAGCCACCTCAAGCTGGGATGATGTAATGAGTGCTCAAAGTACTAATTAGCTCATTTTTTGTTACACTTTTGTAATGACTGGGCGCAGGGAGAGCTCAACAGAAAACTACATATATTTCATTTTGTTGATTGTGCACTTGCACTTACATATGCATGTATATATGTATGTATGTACCTTATCGTAATTGTGGTAGATAGTGCACGGACTTGGGTCAAAAAAGCCAAACTAGCCTCCGATCTCACTGATAGAAATGTGCTGCTCTTAGTCTGCTCTTACTCGTGGCTCATCCGCGCTGGGGATCGTAAACGCAAACTCTGTCCAGATCTTTGGATGTGTGCATGCGGCGCCGTACATGAGCACTGCATTTGATGGCTAATAATGGGGGACTAGTAGCAGTTCCCCCCCACATAGTGGTGTACTATTAATATCGGACCCCGGTTAATTCCCACACATGCACGCTACGCTCCGCACTCGCTCTCGCACACACACACACACGCACACTGGAAAGCTGGACTAATCTGAACGGACCCATTCGTCGTTGCATGCTGTCACCGTCGTTCCATATAGATCGGATCGGATCGGATCCGATCGTATCGTATCGGATCGACATGTGTCGGAGCACTTTTTATAGAACGCTTCTGCCCGTAGCTGTAGCTCTAGTCGGCGTTGACGTTGTCGCTGTCGCTGTCGCTGTCGGCTGGTCGAGCTACTGGTGGACGTGTATCTATTTATGAGTGGGACTGTAGATTAGATGTGAATGTGAGTGTGCTCCAGCTTTAAGTGCGAGTGCGAGTGTGAGTGTGAGTGTGAGTGCGACTGCGAGTGAGAGTGAGAGTATATTTGAAATAATAACTTATACGACCGGCATGCGGTGCGTAGTGTTTACTTCTGTGGAAACTCAGTCCGAATTCGTTAACAGCCGCTAACGGTTTGCTCTTGCTCTGCTCCACGATCTCGCATTGCTAGCACATAGCACCCCTCCATCGATCCTTGAACAGACATCCTCGCCAACATGTCCAAAGTGTCGCAAAGGTCAGTAATACATATGTACAATACATACGATTTCTCGTGAGGGGAATAACGGAAAGAGGCGAACAGTCACGGAGGAACACCTTCGTTTAGCAACTGCAAAATAATCTTATCATCGTGAAACAGTAGAAAGAAAAACATAGCTATAGCTACATAGTATATGCACATGGGAATTTTGTTGCTCAAATATATAGTTTGTTCTACCAGAGAGCTGCCGCCAGATAACACCCATTTGAGGTTCTTGGTTGGAGTCCGTTCCTTATCGACGGGTCGGACCGCAAGTCAATCCCTCGGATGGGGCCAGGGTTCGCAGGGTCCAATGGGGTCGCTGATGTGTGTAAGTGCTGGCGATTATCCAGATTATTATTACAATTATTGTTACCAGATTAATTGCCAAATCGCGAATCGAACCGGTTGGCATGACCGGTAAGCGTATTTCGTTAACCTTTACCTTCGGGCCACTGTGCAACGCCCCCAGGGAACTCGCGATGGACCCTGATCGACACGCTTCAGTTCCGATAGGCTCTGGTTACCTCTACTCGGGATGTATTCTACAATCTGTATAATGCTGCCCACTAGACCAAGAATAACGAGCGTCAAATTTTGATAATTGATACGTATATGATACGTTTTCGAGAAGAGCAGGAAGCCGGTTCCAATAATCTGTCGTCCTTCATGATCAGTGATCACGAATCATGATGAATTCTCTATGTAGGATCTATGATCAACCAAACCAAACCATATATTTGGCATATATGGCATAAAAGCAATAAGCTCTTCCCAATGAATTCCTATGAACCATATATATATGCACATATTACACACATGAGAAATCCGCTAACACTACAGTAATGGCAAGCGAATGGACAGACAAGTTTCAGACCCATAATCTATTTGCAGTCATCCACACATTATAGAAACTATTATTATTCTTTGTGAAATACATAATCAACAATGTTTTTAATCGAATGGAATCACTCTATTCGATATGGCGTTCGTTTTGGTATTCAGTAAGAGGTATATGGGCTATAGATTGCCTAAGCATAGAATGGAAAAAAAGTGCAGCGATAAGAGCTGTGAGAGATTCTTTGGGGGTGCGGGACAGAGAGAAGTCGAGAGCAGTGGGGGCCACGGTCATGGTTGGTCAACTGATGGCACGATCATCTGTCTATACCCAGACCCATATATATGTACATACATATATGTATATCATATGTGGCTGATCTTCCGTTCGCCTATGGATGTGTGTCACAAGTAGCTAAAAAACAAGAAAAACAAAGAAACATCAGACAAAAAGTTTCGGCAATATCTAGAGATCTCACGCAGCTGCAGGCCAGTAATTGTTATTGTAATACGAGAACGGGGGTATATACATACATGACAAAAAAGCTGACCAAAGACGAACCCGGTAGCCCCGTAGCCCCTCTACCGACGCCTCGACTCACGACTTCCGCGTGGGGCCAGACCAGCGGTCAGCAGTCACAGCAGTGAGCGGAGAGGAGGGAGCCGAACCATAAGGTACTCTGGACAGATCAGAACAATCGTTTCTATACCGGCTTTATGATCAATAAAAACCTGAACTACAGCTTGTTAAGTCTTTACAATAATGGGATTTCGATCGCCGATTAATGTCACCTATTAAATCATATAGATATCCCACGTGTTATACATGACCTGTGCGTAGAACAGATGAGGTTTTGATTGGAAGAAAGACTGCCCTTTCCAGGCGAAGAAGGGTATCTTAAGGAGGGAAAGGTCAGCTGATTGTCGCTGCCAACGAGATTAGTCTGGTAATGCCGTGGGTCAGGCAAGAGTTAGAGTCCACACACTCCACAGAAGTAGATTAGAGTCCACTACAGTCTAATTCGAGTCGACTCCCCACTTAATAATTATGATGCAAAGATCAAGAGTCTAATTAGCAGACGGCACGCACTCGCGCTTCCCATGATCCCCGCCCCGCCCCGCCCCGCCAAAGCACCCTGAACAATCCACTGATCCACTGATCTCCACTTTTTTAGCGCCAGCAATGCTAACGGTAGCAGCACCACGAACAGCAGCGACATCTACAACATTGTGCTGCTAGTGGTGGACATTGTGGTGCTGATCGTCAAGTTCTGGCTGGCGATAGTTGAGTCGATAGTGGGCCTTTTCCAGACTAAGCCGCAGGATAATGTGAACGGGAAGTTTGTGCTGATCACCGGCACTGGCCATGGCATGGGCAAGCAGATGGCCCTGCAGTACGCCGCCTTGGGGGCCACCGTCATCTGCTGGGACGTGAACGAGCAGACGAACAACCAGACGGTGAAGGATATCAAGCAGAAGGGCGGCAAGGCGTTCGGCTATGTGTGCAATGTGACCAAACGCGAGGAGCTGATGGAGCTGGCCCAGAAGGTGCGCAAGGAGCATGGCTTCATCCATGTGGTGGTTAACAATGCCGGCATCATGCCCTGCCATCCCCTTTTGGAGCACACCGAGAACGAGATTCGTCTCATGTACGACATCAATGTGGTCTCTCATTTCTGGGTACGCGTTTTGGGTTGCATTCGATGTGGCATCCTCATTGATCCTCTCTCGTTCTTCAGATGATTCAGTCCTTCCTGCCCGACATGGTGGAGCGCAACGAAGGCAGCATTGTGGCCCTCTCCTCCTGTGCCGGACTCTTTGGTCTCATCAATCTGGTGCCCTATTGCGGCACTAAGTTCGCTGTCCGTGGCTACATGGCCGCCCTCACCGAGGAGCTGCGCCAGAAGAATCCTCAGAACAACGTAAGTGTGGTCCCTGCCTGATCCTTGCGCCAAGCACAGCTTGAGTTGAATGTTCTTGTTCGTCTTCCAGGTGAAACTGACCACCATCTATCCGTACATGATCGATACGGGTTTGTGCAAGAATCCCCGCTACCGCTTCCCCAGCCTGTTCCAGTTGATTTCCCCCGACGTGGCGGCCGCTTCCATCATTCAGGCCCAGCGCGAGGGCCTGGAGGAGGCAGCCATTCCACGCAGCTACCTGACGCTGGAGAAGGTCGGACGTCTCATTCCTCGCAAGGCAATGCGACTGGTAAACGATTTCGTCGACACTGGCGTCGACACTGACAAGTACTAGAATGGAATGGAGAGGAATGGCCTCACCGCCTGAAAGAGTAGGATGTACTCGCACGAGAGTACACTCTGCTTTAGGTCTTAGAGCTTTATTATTTTTGTTTTTTTTTATTATTAATTTCCCGTAACTGCTTTGTGTGTATAATTGTAGCTCATTTCTGTGAGAAATGGGAATTCAGCAAGCTCAATTTAGCTGTTAAAAAGGTTGTTACTTAAATGCTTTAATGCTAATTGTGTGGGTCGTAATAAAGTCGCCATAAATCTGAATGACTCGGTGAGCGTTGGGTCAGTGTGCGGCGGGAGTAGCCCCTGGGTGCCAGAGTGCCTCCGGGGTGTCTGGGTGTCTGGATGTTTATTTGGCTTTTGCGGCGTCTGCCTTCTTTTTCGGCTCCGAAACCTCTGGGTTAACAGCTTCTTGGGACTCTCCAAAGGGTTCGACTACCTGAGCCTCATCCACGTTGTACTGCTCGAAGGCTGTGCGTTCCATGATCATGTTACGCTTCGAACGCTTGCGCTCCACAGAGAGGAGCATGTCCTGGAAGTCGGCAATGGCCATACGGAACTGATCGTCGCTCTCGATTAGCTGAACAAACTGATCGGGATTGTCGGGATCCAGTTCCAGATCTAGTTCGATGTCATCGCCAGTGCGTTTGGCGCGCTCCTCCTCGGCCAGCAGCTGGGTGCGACGCTTCAGCTTTATTTCCTCGACGCGCGCCTCCAGGATTTTGCTACGCGAGATCTCACGCTCAAACATCTACGGGGTTGGGGGATGGGAGACAAAAGATTAGATGAGATCAAAGTATAACCGGAGAGCCTGAGAACGCTTACGGCAGCTATTAGGGCCTTCTCTTTGCCGGTGGCCGACTTCATGGCATCGTCCAGCACGAGGATCTTCGTATCGCCATTGGCCAGGGCAATGGCCAGCAGTGCACCCTCCGAGCGGAAGACCACGTCCTGGATCGGTGAACCAAAGTTTATGCTGTAGATGGGGACACGCTGGCTTAACAGTAGGTCCCAGAAGTCCACCACGCCCTTGTTATCGCCGGTGACAAAGAGGGAGCATCGGCCCGTACTCCAGGCCCCGCAGACGACCTGGGTCTTCTTCCGGAAATACATTGTGCTGGGGCCATCCTTGGCCTCCTCGGACCAAACGCGCGCCCGCCAGTCGCCGGTCACCAGGAAGTTCTTCACAAAGAACGGATTCCGATTGATGGTGCGCACGGGACCGGCAAACAGTTGATAGTAGGCCAGCAGCGTCTCCAGGGGGGTCATTCCCTTGCGGTTACCCACAAAAACACAGCCCATGTCGCTGCCAATAATGAAGCGCACGGGAATGGTGTACTCAAACTCGAGCACCATCACCCCATGAGCGTCCTGGCGATTCTGGCGCTCCTGCGGCACCGGCTCCAGCAGCAGTTCGTGCACCGGCATCATTAGGTCGCGTGTGTCCCAGTATTTGACGGAGCCGTCCAGGGAGCCCGTATAGAACTCTGTGTTGGATTTGGAGTGCACCCAGCAAAGGGCCTTGGTGTTCTCGCGATGGGCCGCCTCCAGCGGACAGATGCGCAACGGCAGGCCACTCTTTAAGGTGTTCCAGAGGCACACCTTGCCCGACCAGGTGCCGCCAGCCAGGTTGTTCTCGTCCTTGGGACAGATCTTGGCACGCGAGACCACTTCTTTGCTGTCGTAGAAAATCTTCGGCTTGAGCGGATTGCTCATCTCCCAGATGTAGAAGGCATTGTCGCCGCCACTCCACGCATCGATTGGGACCATCTTATCTGCTTCCTGACGCAGCCGGTACTGGTTCGTGAACTGGGCCATAAACTGATTATCGTTGTTGGGCATCCAATCGATGACGGTCATTTTGCGCGGTGGCACCCAGAGGTCGTGGAACACATTCACCACGCGCGCTGTAAAGCGCAGACGGAAGTCTTGCCCCATATCTGGGTTCAGATCGGCAAAGAAGTTCTGATAGATGTTGATGGCGTTGTTCTGCTCGGCCACATTCATCATGGCGCGTATCATGTCGGCGACCTGTTCGCCCCAGCTGTCATCGCGCTCCACCTTCTTGCGATGGCGCACGGTCTGCTCTTCGTCGTTGATGTTCACCTCTCTGGGCCAGCCGCCCTCGTAATGGAACATCCCATGATTATCGAAGCTCACATTCTCCGTCTCCATGATGCTGAGGGCCATCTGGTCGCTGAGCTGCGTGGGATGCACTGCCGGATCGCGTAAAATGTACTTCAGGCGAAGTCGTCCACTGGGATGGACACTGACCATCAGTTCATTGCGGTCCTGGAACAGACACTGGCGCCCGAAGAGGCGTCGCTCTCGCGAAAAAATAAATTGGTTCTGATACATTACGGGGCTGCCCTTCTGTTAATGTTCTGTCCTCTACCGATTTCTGTATATATATATTTCTGCTATATTTGTTGCTTGTGTGAAATATCGTAATTTGATTGAATGTGAAACGAAAGCTGAGATTTTTCATTTTTTTATATACGAATTTACGGAATATACAAACGATAGACTGCCGATTTTAACTGCTGTTTTTTCTTCTTCGCAGCGCGCGAATATTCACATCAATGGAATCGATTCTATCCGCTGTTTTCTAATCGATTTCAAATTTTAGAGAGTTTCAGAAGTCACGGCTGTGACTGTATAGTCTTTTTACCCTGCCGACCATCGATATCGGAAATGACGCAGTATAAGCGTTTACAATGGCAGACGCAGGTTATTGCGTCATGAGAATAGCTGTTTTGTGTATTTGATGATGAGGAAAGCAACCAAATTATGGATATAAACCATTTTTCTGTTGTTGGTAAAAGTATTGATAGGTAAAGTGACTTTGAGCACAAGTAACAAGTAAAAGGTTAGCTCAGATTATAATAGTACTTATATCCCAGATCATAAACCCGTTGCAATTTAAGTTAATCTGACATTGAAAAACAAATTTACATAGTATTCAGTATTGAATTGAATTTTTCCTGGAGCTCGGACTAGCCACCTGATATTTATCAAAGTATTCTCCAAGCAGTGACCAGGAGCAGTCACTATAAATAATTGCAGGTATGGTCATCTCTAAAACACACAGAACAAGAATTTAGTTAATTTATTACTGAAAAAGTTCGTTTTGGGTAACTGGGTCGTTATTTAAGCTCGATCGATTTTGTTCCCTTTCTAAGTAACTGACCTTGTTACTTGGCATGTCGCAGGCCACATCGAATTTATAAATTGGGATTAAATTAAAAAATAACGGCCAAACTTGTCTCCTTCCGGTGTCGCTTTTGATAATTACATAAAAATGTAGTTAATATGTAGCGAATGTGTAGTTAGCAACTTCATTTTGTCATTTTATAAACAATTAAATAAAAATGAGATCTTCAAGTTAGCCAGTCTTCTAGGAAAGTGATTCGTCAATCGGATAAATTGATGTACCGAATATCAAAAATCGAGGTATATGAGGAATTAGGAATACATATAATTTCGTCAGTATATTTCTGAGGGTCACACTATTGCTCTCTTCTGCAACGAACAAATGAGTCGTAATTTGTAATGGTCTATTTCAATAGGGTATGGACAACAGGCAAAAACAGCCATGGCAAATTGCAAGGTAGCGTGTGAGGACACATACCTTGCAGACAAAATCGGCTTTTTGTCTACAAGGTATATTTGGCATATGGGGTAGATCTCACCTACCATGCGTTGCATTTTCTGGGCCGTGTTGGCTGTTGTCCACACCCTCTTTTCCCTCCCATTATGTAGCAAATGTGTAATTACCGTGTACCTGCCGTGTAGCATGTAATAAATTAACATCCAACACTAAATGAAACAAATTTCTTGCCTAACATAGATTTCCCGATTTTGCCGTAAAACAAGAACATCGAGGCGTGTGTGAGGCAAAATTATACTACATTTTTCGCCATCACCATGCCCGCTAACAAGTCGGGCGCAACTGTAGCTGTGAGACCGGTAGAGATACCGGAAACCGCGACAACAAACTCATCCCATGCCGCCCCATCATCAACAGCAGCCCCAGAGGCGTCGCCGAACGGTGGCGATGAGGCTGCCAAAGAGGCAGAGGAGCGCGAGGAGCTGCGGCTGTTCATCCACGAGCTGGGTGAGAAAATCGAGAGCAAGCGGCTGCTGCGTCAGCAAAATGCCAACATTGAGCTGCCCGGCGAGGAGTTCTTTGCCCGCCTCGACTCCAGCCTGAAGAAGAACACGGCGTTTGTGAAAAAGCTGAAAATGTTCACCACCACGCAGCTGGAGCCGCTGCTCCGTGAACTGTCCGCCTTGAATCTGAGCAAGTATATTTCGGAGATCTGTGCCGCCCTGGCGGAGGCCAAGCTCAAGATGAACGATGTACCTTCGGTGGTGATCCTATCCTCACGCCTTCACGCAACCTATGTGGACTTCGACACGCACTTCCTGGAGGCTTGGCAGAAGGTGCTGAACATCAAGGCCGAGAAGATCAGCAACCCGAGCAAGCTGCGCGTCGATTTGCGCCTCTTTGCGGAGCTGATTAGCTCGGGTGTTATCCAAATGAAGCCCGGCCTGGCCCTGCTGGGCATGGTACTGGTCCAGCTAATCGGCCAGGACAAGGACGGTCATAACAACTTCTCCATTATACTCTCGTTTTGCCGTCACTGCGGCGAGGAATATGCTGGCCTGGTGCCGCAGAAAATGCAGCAGTTGGCTCTCAAGTACGGCGTCGAGGTGCCCAAATCCGATTTCCTGGCAGCGGACAAGCAGGCGAACCTGCGCACCATGCTCAAGGGCTACTTCAAGGCCCTGTGCAAGCATGTCCTGGCTGAGCAGACCGAACTGATGAACATGACCAAGAACATACGCCGCACGATGGAGTGCAAGGGCGAGATCTCCTCTGAGAAGCGCGAGAAGTGCGAAATGATGCAGGCGAGCTTCGACAAGCTGCTGGCCTCCGCCCAGACCCTGTCGGAGCTGTTGGCCGAGCCGCTGCCGGAGCTGGCCAAGGAGTCTGAGTGCTGCAGTCCGGGTACAGTGATTGACAACATGCTGGACAGTGCCGCCTTCGGGGTGCTCGATCCTTGGGGCGATGAGGAGACACGTGCCTTTTACACAGATCTGCCCGATCTGCGCCAGTTCCTACCCGACTTCTCTGCCCCCAAGGTGGACCTAGAGACCATGGAAGAGCCCAGCGAGCTCACCGAAGAGGCCATTGATGCCAATTTAGACGCCGAAATGGATATCGACGATCCACCCTCAACAAATTCGGATCCACCGTC